GAATTCCACTAAGCTCAAAAGGCAGAATTACAGCAAATCTTTATCCAGCATTATGTAAGACAGGTTATTTTTATTTTTTGTAAGCAAATATAATGCTGATTAATTCAGTCTGCATTACCAGCATGGTTTTTGAACATTATACTCAGTGTTAAAATCCTGCACATGTCATGACGCAGCTTTATATAATTCTGCCAATCCTGTCCAGGTGGGCAGATACCAGCAGACTGGTGTGTGGTCTACTCTGGGTACCAGCGCAACCTCCATCTTGGGAGGCTGAGTTAATTAGAAAGTACCCAACAACTTCTTGAAAGTATCAGTTGAAGTTCAGAAAGACCGTCGCTAGTCAAAGTTCAAGGCTCATGGGATCACTTAGGAAAGGGATAAAGAAATCCGCAGAACGGTTGGACTTTGACTTAGCATCAGAATCTGCAAAGGACTGTTTGGGAATAATGTAGAACTCAGATTCCAAGCCACTCCTAGAAAGCCATGCCCTAATATTTTTAATACAGAGACCATGAGTTTATTTTTATTTGTTGCACCTCTAAAACTAGGGTGCTCATAGAATTTATTGTCCAAAATCAAAGCACTTTTAAAGAGGGAAGGGGACCCTCTAATAATGGCACAGAGACAAGAAGCAGATACTTGGATCGTTCTGGGCAATTGAGATGTATGGTCTGCGCATCTAAAACCACAGCATGTTCTAATGAATAAGTGGGCGCATCATTCTGCAAGGAGCCTCTATAAACCAGGCAACACGTACCACCAATTCCACAGCTTCCATTTGCACTGGCCAAGGTCTTCATGTTCTGATACTCTACTTTTATAACTACTTTAAATTTTCCATAATAAAAAGTTCATTTTTATGCCATGTCCCGATAGCATCTCTGGCTTCCGATCTTGTCAGAATACTTTTCTGTCTCATGTATGCATTTCATGTCTCTGGGTCCTGCTGTTTTTATGCATGTCCTTGTCTCCATCTTATATGGAAAAACAGGCCATGTAACAAGACAGGTCATGGAGCTAGAGGACAGTACACAGGAGGACTTCCAGGCCATTCCAGCCATACATGTTTGTCCATTTTTATGGCTCATATATCTCTCCTACCATCTTTGAAGTCATAAAGCTGAATAAAAAATCAACATATTTCCATTAATGTCAGAATTTTGAGCTCAACTAACAGTTAAAATATTATCTTCCAAGTAGAAATATATCTATAAACTGCCATGGAGTGATCTCCAGGATATTTTATAAAGTTAAGAAGATCAAGCAAAAAGAACTAATTGTATCTAATATTTTAACACTGTCTACATGAAGGGAAATATGAATAAGTGTGTGTGTGTGTGTGTGTGTGTGTGTTGCCTTAGTTATTTTAAATATAAGTGTATTATGGGCTGAATTATGTCCCTCCCAAAATGTATATGTCGAAGTCCTAACCCCCGGTACTTCAGAATAAGACTGTATTGGGGGTAAGTTCTTTAAAGAGGTGATGAAGTTAAAATGAGGTCTTAGGGTCAGCCTTAAACCAATCTGACTGGTGTCCTTAAAAGAAATGGAATTTGGACATACAGAAAGACGCACATGCACAGAGGGAAGACCACGTGAGGACGTAGTGAGAAGGTCCTTCTGCAAGCCAAGGAGGGAGGCCTCAGATGAACCCAACCCTGCCGACACCTTGATCTTGAATTTCTAGACTCCAGAACTGTGAGAAAATAAATTTCTGTTGTTCAAGCCACCCAATCTGTGGCATTTTGTCTAGCAGCCCTAGTAAATTAATATGAAGGGTAATTTTAAAA